GAATAGATGGCTGTTCTTTTGGGTATCACGAGTGGGAGTTGACTGAACTGTGAGATCTGAAAATTGGTATTCTCTAATAGTATCTGATGACAATAATAGAGTGCTCTAATGGTGTTTTTTTGGTGATTAACTTACTTGTACACGTGGAGCACTTGGAAGATATTGTTGGAGCAATTTGTCTTCCTTCGAACTTTAACACACTGAGGTAGAAGTTTTTCTACCTATTCTCTATTGGATATGGATCTAAGGGCAGCAGGGAGAACTTGGAATTGCACTGGAATAAAGATGGACTACCAACCAAAGCTCCAGTACAGAACTCCTACTGTTCAAGAATACTTTTAAGTTTACTGACAGTGGCTGTTCTTATGGGTATTACATGGGTTTTCCCCTCAGGAATCATTGAAAAACGCCATCAGGCGATGTGTGTTTCCTGGATAAAGTAATAAAACAAACAGTCAAGCAAATCTGATCTGAAGATTGGCCTCTGGTGACAATGAAAGAGTGCTTTTAATGTTGTTTTTTCTTGTGATAAATCCTCAGGTCCACGTGGAGCACTTATTTAAGTTATTACCAATTTTGGAACAATTTGTCAAGAACTTTAGCACACTGAAGTACTTAGTAGCAGTTTGTTCTATCAATTTCCTGTCAATATTTAGGCCAAGCTGCACAAAGAAGCTTAAATTTGATGGACTACCAAGGCTCCAGTTCGAGATTATACTTTACTGACTGTGAATCTTGTCTGATCTTACGGGTATCACAAGTAGTTGTTGACTGAACATGTGAGAATTGGCCATCCCTGGTGACAATAAAACAACGCTTTTAATGTTGTTGTTTTTTGTGACAAATCTACTGGTACATGTGAGCACTTACAGGTTATTTCCATTGGAACGATTTGTCATCCTTCGAACTTTCGCACACTGAAGTACTAAGTAGCTGTTTTTCTGTCAATACTGCTTGTAGTTAGGTCAAGCAGCGTGAAGATTCAAGCGTAAATTTTACAGGTAATGATCGACCACCATTAGCTCTTGAGATCTGAAAATTGGCCACCTCGGGTGACAATAAAGAATGCTCTTTGGTGTTTTTCTGGTGATAAACCTACTTGCAATTGTACATGTGAAGCACTTGGAAGTTACTTCCACTGGAGCAACTTATCGTCCTTCGAACTTTAACTTTAGCACACTGAGGTAGAAGTTTTTCTCCCTATTCTCTATTGGATACTTGGATTTAAGGGCAGTGGGGAGAAGTTCGAATTGCACTGGAAATGATGAAAGTTTCTGAAACTTGCTGCTTGATGACTTGTACCAACACAGATGAACTTTCAAGATAACACAAGTTGGTGTTAGATCTGTGAGGACTGACAATTGGCTGTCTCCAGTGCTATAAAAGAGTGCCTTTAGTGTTGTTACTAGATAAATCTAGTGGTACAGGTGAAGCATGATAATTATTTCCATAATTGGAACAATTTGCCATCCTTCAGTGCCAAAGCCGAACTTTGGCACACTGATGTGCCAAAGCTGTTTTTCCTCTAAATTTCTTGTGTTGGAAATTACACTTGTTCCATAATGACTTTTACCAACACAGATGAACTTTCAAGATAACAGAAGTGATCAGATCTACCTGTGACAATGGGCGGTCTCCAGTATCCAGTGACAATAAAAAGAGCACCACAGTTGTCTGTCTGTTGATTTATATCTTGTCATCTAAGGCTTTTCTCTCCCCACATTGCCATTGAGTCATACAATGTTGCAACTGGGATGCTGACATTTACGACTGTTCAGGGAAATCTTCCATTAGTAACAGGTACAGGAGATTTTATGGCAGGATCATGCCAGAATCTGCCTCTGCTGAAGACAATAAAATGGGTATGAATATGAAACTACATCATGTAGAATTCTAGATGTGGGAAATGTGATTCACTATAATAATTATAACTAGAAAGGTAGAACATTTGCAAAGCAAATGCATAATGTTTACCTTTGCATATGGTAGCTCTGTTAATTCTTACTCAAACACATTCACGTACAATATATACGGTCAGACAGGAGTCTACATCCCTCTTGCTATAAAATTGCAATATGATGTAACCCACCACTAGTGACAGACATTTTAATGATCAGGTCATTGACCTTATTGGGTTGGAGAAGAAGAGGAAACAGAGAAAAAACTATATGTTTTCCTGATCGGTAAACATAATGATTTGAATGACTGTATAATTTCAATATGATGTAGCATGACACATGTAGAAGACATAGTTATGGAAATTATTAATCATTTTTTCCCTTTTCAAAAATCAAAGGTTGACCATAGAAAAATAGTATAATTTCTTAAGGTTCTCCTTCTGGATTTATAGTCCGTACTACTAGTGCCTTCAAAATGATATAACGTTATGCTGATAAAAACAAACAGGGCATGTAATGGTAAAATGATAGTTGTGCATGCATCATTATGTATAATCATCTGTTGGTACTGCAGCTTGTGTACAATACAGTCATGCATTCGCTTAATTGGAAAATCCTAGTATTTATCTTTCTCTTTTAGCTTTTAATATTGTCCTTGAATCAAGGCTTATATGCATAGTTGGTAGACGTACACAGCCATTCACTAGATTGTAATTAATCTAAACTCGCAACTTTACACATTAATTCTACATTGTACAGTTTGGTAAGAGACAGTTTGAACGAGAATGATTATTGATTAGAAAAAGAACAAAAATTATGACATATTGTGGCAAATTGGATAGAAGGAGAATTTTATATATTTGTGATAATAATAGTAAGAGTATATTCAGCATACAGGATGTAAATGAATATTCAAATATGTACACCCCCTATAATTACTATCGGATGGTCCCAATCTATCATGAAAAAGAGATCTCACCATCTCTGTACCATTCAGTATGCTCCCTAAGCCTCTCCCCTATATATGTATACATTTTGAGAATCTAAATGCTAAACTACAAATAAATTAAAAATATACTGTAATACTATGTAGTCTAGGACAACGTTGCACAAACTGGTCACACGCATACATGTACAGTCCCCACAATAATTCTTCTTGGAAGGTCCCTACAATGCAGCTATCAAAGTATCATGAAAAGAAGATCTCCACATCTGACTGTACTATTCAGTATACTCCCTAAGCCTCCTCCCTACATTTTGGAGAATCTAAATTCTATTGAATAGTATTTTGATTTAAAATATTCTGTATGTAGTTTAGCACAACGTTGCACATTTAACTGTTCACATGAATACATGTACAGCCCTTGGAAGGTCCCTACAATGCAGCTATCAAACTATCATGAAAAGAAGATCTCCACATCAGTATATACTCCTCTAAGCCTCCTCCCCACATTCTGAGAATCAGATCAATATTGCATTGACACTTCTCCCCGCCCGGCTTCCCAACTTCAATTTCCAGCAGTCAGATATAATCTGGGCCTTATCTTCCGGTTCCATGGTTGGCATGGCAACGGCGGAACCCTGGAGCTCGGCGATACCGCCGCCCTCTAATGAGAAATGTTCGGCTGTGGTATATCATTGACTGTTTCCTGGAAATGCCTTTTATTCCGCTTCGATTCGATTGAGATGTGTTTCCTTGTCAGAAGACAGCATCAGCATAGTCTCCATCAGGCCTTTCTACAGGAATACGGAGCGTATAGAATTCGGCAAAAAAGAGAATCAAATTGGCCTAAGGAGTCGGGCCGCGGGGAGGTAGTTTCGTTCCCCTAACTGCGCGGCATAGTCAAACCTACAAGGCGGCCAAACTCCCCCGGCAAATATTCTCCTGTATATAGCCAGCGTAGTTAGTCTGGTAGAGACTAGCATCGGCATTGGATTGGACATGATTGTGGATACATGTCACGATGTGTTTCACATAATAATAGAGGATGCAGTGGTCTTGATACTTGTTATTTTTACAGACTTTCGTTTTATCTCAGATATATAATATATATTATAGTGTCTTGCAGGGCGCTAAGTCCTTTTATTCAGCCACCTGCAAAATTGCAGGCTTGCCAAATCCAGAATTCTGCCAGCAATTTTGCGGGATAGCCCACCAAGGGCGCACAAATGCAACAGAAGTTGGTGGGGCCAAATTATAGTAATTTATACAAATTGAAAGGGACTTAATTTTACAGAAATGTTGACCTTCAGGTTTTGTGCTGCTGTTGTGGCAGTGATGACTATCAATGATTTGGTACATTTGTAAGATAAAAGTGGAAGGATTTGGCAGGCATGAATGCAAAATTAGCTTCTGTAAAGAACTATGTAGTCAAGACTTGTCTAGTGTAGTCAAGACTTCTCTGTATCATAAATGATTCAAACATATACCATATACAGTGTTCGAAATACCTGCCTGCAGTCTGCAATCTGCAGATAGATTTTCAAGATTGCAGAAGAAAAAATTATACAATCTGCAATTTTGCAGAAGGAAAAATAGGCTCCAGATTCATTAGCTTTCAATTTAGCAAACTAAAACTTCCAGGTCCCAGGGACAGACTGTTCTGAAACAACAGGAGCTTCTTCACTAATTTGCATCATCCTTGTCTTGACTTGTCTATCTTTTGTTCCTTTTGGACTTCCAAAAAATTGTCTTCACTAATTTGCATATCAATCCATAGTTCATGCTTATAAACCTGAAATTCTCCTGCAGTCTAGTAATGCTACTGTACAGATTTACAACGCTATGTATGATGTAAAAAGGAATTACTGTTTTGAGAAGGTTGTAGTATGGAGGCTTGTGTATTTGCAGAAAGGTTGTAATATGGAGGCTTGTGTATTTGCAGAAAATATTTCCAAATTGCAGAACAAAATTTTGACTCTTCTGCAATATTGCAGAGTACTGAAAAAAAGTATTTCGACCACTGATATAAAACTATTAAAAGGAGTCAGTTTTCAAGCAGACAGTTTGCATTGATCTCAAAAACCATGTACTAGATATGCATCATACATGTATGCTCTCATTATAACTGAACCTTCTTTCATTTTTTGTTCTCTTTGCAGTCAACTTTGACCACTTCCAGATCCTCCGGTCTATAGGGAAGGGAAGTTTTGGCAAGGTAAGGAGAATGATTGATGTGCTGCATTTGTAGAATCAGAAATGACCCAGAAAAAAGGACTGGAGAAATCTTAATCTTACATGTGTATGTATGGTTGGAGAGGACAGGCATTCAAATAATTCAGTCTGCCTCTGAGTGCCTCACTTATTTAGGGAAACTAGCTAAGGGCACAACTTCAAATGGGGAACGAAACCTTCATCAGGATAATTATGACCAATCACTTTAGACCGTAAACTTGCAAGAGATTTGAACTGAACAAGCTCAACATTTTTCTATGATCACTACCAACACAGATGAATTTTTATGATAATTTCTTTATTTATCTGTAATGATACTAATATATTTTGTGCAAATAACTGTTTTTCAAAAATTGTGGTGGGTATTGTGAGGAAGAAGGACAAGCAGCTGCAGTGATTGCACAACTGTGTGGCCCAAAGGCTACAGAAACGAAATATCCCATATTTGAGTTTAAGTTTAACTTAAACTTTACATCGTGTTCTCAGGTGTGTATAGTGAGGAAGAAGGACAACAAGCAGATGTATGCGATGAAGTACATGAGCAAGGCTGCGTGTCTGGAGAAGGACGCCAGTCACCACGTGCTGCGGGAGCTGGACATCCTGCAGAAGCTCGAGCACCCCTTCCTCGTCAACCTCTGGTTCAGGTAGATACAGTTATGTCTACCTTCGCAGAAGAATAACATTGTTTTTGCTCAGTTTCTTCTTCTTCTCCCGTTCTGAACAAATTAGGTCAATGATCTGGGCCAGACATCTGTCACCATGGTAACTTAGGCTTGTGCTATAGATGTAGCGATATAAAAGACATCTTCTTCACATAATAGATGGCTAGAATAAATTAAAGCTTACTAATAGATCTTATCATCAAAACTGCCCAACCATCAAAACTGGTTATATTACACTGTGCGTCTCACTGAAGGACCTACACACACTCAACTAGGTCCTTAAGAAGTCCAATCAATACCTGCCACTCCATTCATTCACTCATTCATTCATTCATTCATTCGTTCGTTTGTTCAGCTTCCAGGACGAGGAGGACATGTTCATGGTGGTGGACCTGTTGCTAGGCGGCGACCTTAGATACCACATGGGTCAGGACGTGACCTTCACGGAGGAGGTTGTGAGGTTCTACATCTGTGAGCTTGTCCTGGCACTGGACTACTTACGGAGCAGGAACATCCTACACAGGTAAAGCCAGTAGTCCTTTTTCATGTACAATGTGAAAACCTGACACATTTATGAACCTAGTATATGTGGTGTGGCATCTTTGTGGTGTAGTGGTAGAGCATCCGACTGTCAAGCAAGGGGACCCAGGTTCAATCCCCAGGGTTGGACCCAGACATGTCCGTACATGCACCCAGATGTTATGCCCTTGGGAAAGGCACTTAACACATATTTCCCCCCTCAGTTAGAGGGATCACTGCATTGATAAATTCGAAAAAACTGTAACAGCTAGGAAGACAATGAATTTCTTCAATTTTTAGTGCCAAAATATGGGCATTTGGCATTGATTCCCAATACCTGTGGCAATGATACATGTACAAGTACAAAAAAATAAAATGCACAAGTCCATAAAAACAAATTACATCGGTCTGGCCTAAAGACCTTTAACCATTTTTTACAACCTAAAACCATAACACTTTTAAGAGGTGTTCTCTCACGCACTGTAAATGGCAACCTTGGCAGTACATGTATTGATTTTGGGACATTGCCATCAATTTGGTCCCAGAAGTGTTACAGTATTCAGTACCACAAAGCCTCATGATAACACATACAAATTCAAATATTATAAAGCCTGAATGCGTATTGCCAACAATAACAACATTTAAATTCCATATCACATCATATGATTCCTTTTTCTGTCTTGTTTCATGTGAAACCTGAGACATTTCTGTATCTTTACCAGACTGTCTGGGAGCAAATGAATGATATTGGTGTGGCCTAAAGAGGGTTCCAAAACAGCTTTAACCATTTTCTAACACTTTTAAGAGGTGTTCTCTCACGCACTGTAAATGGCAACCTTGGCAGTACATGTATTGATTTTGGGACAATGCCATCGATTTGTTCTCAGAAGTGTTACAGTATTCAGTACCACCAAGCCTGTTACAGGCACCTCGTCTCATTTATGGTCTGCATGGACGATCAGACCTCAGGGCCATCGGATTGTAAACTATTGGCTAGGTCAGCACTCAGTAGGATACATGTATCAATAACATCAGGGTCATTCTTTACACATATAACAGGGCAGGATGTACTATATATGTTGAAAGTTTTGCAGTGGTCTTATTTGTGCAGAATTCATGACACTGCGAACATGTATTTCCACTTTATTGCTACTGTACTAGCCGAATTATTTCAACTGCAAATTCAAAATGCCACACAAAGTCCTACCATGAAATACCACTGCAAGAATTTATGGAGATTTTATTTTCACTGTTTTCAAGTTGTCTTCTAAAATTAACTGCAAACTCGTAGTATTTTAATTGGAGTACTCAATTGCATCAGCTGCAAACTTGAACAATGCAAAAAATCCTTTTCCTTCAATCATGAAATAAAACAACCGCGAAGGTAAATGCATTTACAGTCACTGTTACAGTAGATGTAGTTCTGCTCTCCATGGTGCTGAATTATGTGCTGCTTTGTGTTTCACCTCCACTCTGCCATGGAGAGCAGAACTACAATGACAGTGACTGTAAATGCATTTACCTTTGCAGTGGTAGCTAAAAATTTTTCGTATTGTTCGCGTTTGCAGTTGATGCAGTTACATGCAGCAATAAAGTAAGACATACTTGCAGTGTTACAATTTTACAGTTAATTTTAGAACACACCTCGAAAATAGCGAAATTAAATCACCATACATACAATAAATTCTAGTTCTTCTGCTGTCCGTGGTGCTGAATTGTGAATTGCGTTGTGTTTTGTCTTCCGCTCACAGGGATCTCAAGCCTGACAACATACTGCTGGATGAGCAAGGTAAGAAGTCTCTGATATCATCTTGTTTTGAAAGGCCAGGCTTAAAATACTTTATTTTCTACCTATCTGCACTGGTATATGATTCTTCCTGTACCAAACTGGTATAGATTGGGTAAGAAGTCTCAAATATCATCATGTTTTGAAAGGCATATTAAATTTCCATTTTATGCTTGGCACATACAGTCTATAGTTACAAAAGTTCTGTGTTCAAAGCAAACAAAACAACATAGAACCTTTTGTAATTCAAGACTTAAGGTTTATTTTGTAGGTTTGCAGGTACATTGTATATGCCTAGAAAACTGGGATAGATTGAAATGTTGGGATCAAGCCAATGGCTGCTTTTTTTTATTATCATTTTTTCAAAATTCAGGAACACTTGACAGTTGAGGCTTGATCTGCAAGTTTAAAATTAAGAATGAAGAAAGTTAATGATATTCTATTAGAAGCCAGTATGTTATGGACAAATAATGGTAAGTTTGAAGTGAAATGTGAAGTAGATTTAATGTGTTAATTCTTTCCTCAGCACAAAACTCTGACAGCATTCTGTCTTGGCAGTATGGCTACTAATGATGAGCGAGAGCTGACATAGATAATAATAATAGATTTAGAAAATAATAATAATGCCCATTTTTAATAAAAAGGAGTCTGAAAGATGTTGACAGTTTGTCTAAACTATCTGATTTTTTGTAACCCTACTGCAGGTCACGTTCATCTGACAGACTTTAACGTCGCCACAGTCTTACGGGAAAACGAACTCGCAACATCACTATCAGGAACCAAGCCTTATATGGGTAAGTCTAGTCTGCACTGAAAAAGATGACATCTCACCATTTTGTCAGAGGCCTGGTTGTAAATAATATATGTTTGCAGTCAGTATTTGAGATTATGGTGAGAATATTGAACAGAGCTAGCCTTTTTTCTGTAGGACAGTTTTTTTCTTCATTCATATCTTAGATGGTATTTAGGTCACACCAATGCCATGGCTTTTTTTTTACCACCCACTAAGTCTTCATTGATTTCGTACAAAAATCAATGAAGCAAAATCAATCAAATTGACGTGGCGTTAATTTCACATATCAACTGGAGGCATAGCCTTTCATGAATCATAAATTCCATCTCCATCTTACTTAACTGTCTTTCATACTAAATATAATTGTATGATCCAATGTATGTATAATTTTTTATTTATATTATTGTATATTTCACTGTGCATCTTATTAATTGTGCTTGTATGTATGCCTAACGATTTTATTTCTCTCAGGGTTGACCCTTTATAATAGTCCATGACTAGTCTGGTAGCTGTTGAAAGCCAAACAAAGAAATGAAACAAACTGTCTTACATAAACTAAAGGCCCACAGTCAGACATGACACAAGTTCATCCTCACTTCCTCGGTCCATGTGAAATTGTCTTCCACGGGGCCTTAAGATTTCATGGACCGACAAGACTGGCATTAAATATTTGAAAAATATGTACATGCTCACCATTTTGCACAAGCATTGAGAGCTATCACACATTCACAGTATGCATTTGGCTTCTTCTTTTTCTTTCCTTTTTTACCACCCAGTAAGTCTTCATTGATTTTTCTCAAAAATCAAATTGGTGTGGCCTTAATTTCACATATCAGCTTTAGGCATAGCCTGTCACGAGTCATGAATTCTCCCTATATATACCTTACATAACTGTCTAACATACAGTAAAGGCCCACAATCAGACAATGACGCAGGTTCACCCTCGCTTTCTTTGCCTGTGTTAAATTGTCTTCCACGGGGCCTTAAGATTTCATGGACCCGACAAGACTGGCATTAAATGTTTGATCAGATTGGTCACGCTTGTGCGCGAGGTGTAGATGAGTTTGCTGCAGCTTGAAGATTGCCTGATTGGGTTGACTTTAGACTCCCCCTTTCCAATTAAAGACCCATCAGAAGAGCGTCAGCAAGGATTTCATCCCTTTCGCTCGGTTAGATCGGCAATAAATGTTTTAGCAGAAGCGACGACAGTTACGTCAGATCTTTCTCCCTCGTCTCAGGAAGAAATGAACCGCCCAGATGGAAAATTGTTCGCAGTTCGTTTTGTAAAACGTGGACGCACGCTCTGACAAGTGCTCCATCAATTTTTAACTGGCAATGTTATGCCACATTAGAAAGGATTTAATGTTCATAGACTTACCTTATGAACTTTCAACCATTACACATTAAGTAAGTGGGCTTTGAGCTTTTGCTGGTAAAAGTCTGGGTTTAACAGCCCGGGGCAGCTGCAGCATTTAACACTGTGAGCTGGGTTTGATCCTCCCGGCTTGGTTGCATCTGGTCATGCCCAACAAATAGACTTAACTTCTCATTTCCTTCGTAACTAAATGTACTTACTGTTCACGCCATCCACACAGCGCCCTGCAGAATGCTAAAAAATGTTAGAAGCAGTCCCTTACAGGGGAAACATTCCTTTCATGTACTAGATATCTTGTTTCTACAAGCATGCAGTTATATTTTATTTTTCATAAAAGTTCATCGTGTTGGTACAATGTAGTTGTAGTTCCATCACAACAGATTGTTCAGGGCACTACAGCAGGGGGCTAGTCCACTGGTAGTGCTGTGTGTTTGACCTTCCCACACTCTTTCTCACATGTGCTGAGTGCTATAAGCATAGAAAGAAGTACATGTATGTACCATTTTTAAAGCAAGGAATTCACAAAAAACTTTTGATATTCCTGAAAAGGTTTTCCAAATAAACAGTGCCTGTCTCCAATGAGGCTGTATGGTGACTGTCATAACATGTTATTCCCAAACATGGGCAAATGTCTTGACATTGAGTCTCAGTTGTAAAGAGTAATGACTTAATGCATCTTTACTATTCCCCGGTGCTGCCTGCAAAACCACTTAGTTTGCTCCACAGCCGTGCGTGTACGTGATTTATACTCATGATTGCAGGATGCTGACAAAGCTATAAATTAGGCCATATCCTTTGAGATTGCCCGGCTATCCCGTAACAGTGCTGACATGTGAATTTAGAGATGATACAAGTTGATACTAACATAATGTTTGTATTAACATTACAGGACTTAGGCAGGACCAGTTAAATGATAATCTTATAGCAATGTCCCTATTTGATATCATAGTGTGGTAGGATGTCACATGCCTGACCAGGGCTCAAAATCCATTTTTGGGGAATAGGTACACTGGTGCACCCAACCTAAAAAATTGTATGCACAAAAAATGTTCTGGGTGCACCATATAAGATAGAATAAGTACAATGTCAGCAAAACTAATTGCTTTTCATTTATAAAGAAAAGTACTATAACAATGATTTTGTTATTTTTCTGACACTAAGGTGTTAAGGATATGCTGTATACTACTGTAACAGTAACTACATCTACACATCTTTACATACGTAAACAGAGAAAAATAATAAAATATTATTTGGGTGCACCTATCCTGGTTTTGATTATGCTGCCTCCGGCTACCAACAGAAAAATAATGGGTGCACAGCTCCAAATTTGGGTGCACTAAGGTGCACATGCACCCAGTATTTCCAGCCCTGATGATACTACTTGTGAACTCGTCAAAAACCCTTTTATGACTTGCATTTTCCACGTGAGCTACTAAAAGCTCTGCACTTTGTCAACCTTTTTTCCGACTGCGTACTCCCGCGAGGGTAGTTCACCTTTCCAAAAGAGTACTTTCTCTGACCTATTATAGCATTAATGTTTGCTCTGAGAAATATTGCATTATGAAATCATTCCCTCGGTGATACTTTTATTGAAAAAGTAATTTGATAGGCTCTCCTCGGGGTAGGTGTCAGACAGCGTAATGTAAATTCTTGCTTCTCTTGCATTTTTACATAAACGTTAAGGAATTTCGGCTGCTGCATTGTTATTTGAGTTATTTGGAGTTATTTGAAGGTATGAAACTTGTACAGGTTGTGCGCAATGTTTGTTCTGCTTTGTTACAACTTAGTCTCATATGCAGGAAGACTACTTTACTGCTATCAAAGCTTCAACTGTTATAAGAAACGTGATCATCCTGGACATCAATGTGATTTTTTTATCTTTTTAATTTGCACCATAAGATTTAGGTGCAATGATTATCAAGATAGGAAAATTTGTTGCTTAGTTTTATGGTACAATGCACATATATGAAACCCAAGATGAAGTCAACATACTAAAGTTTCAAAACCAGATTAACCATACCAGAGTTAAGGTGAATTTCAACTTGGCTAAAATGACGATAGTAAAAGACTGTTGGTTCAAAGCTTGTGCATTTTGGTCATCTCAACACTTAACACCTCATGCATTATTAAGTACAGCATACTTTGTCAAGATTTCGCAGCAATTTTATTAAGCAGCCATACATGTAGGTCCTGGAAACCTGCGGTACTCCAAGGACTGATGAAGCCACACTGGAGATTTCATATCTTTTAGATTTAGATTTAGGTGCTAGTTTAATTATCAAGATAGGAAAATTTGTTGCTTGGAATTCTGTGGTACAACATGAATGAACCCCAAGATCAGGTCAGCATACTCAAGTTTCAAAATCAGATTAACTATACCAGAGTCAACTTGAAGGTGAATTTCAACTTGGCTTGGCAATTGGATACCGGTAGTTAAAAACTGTTGGTTTTTGCGTTTGTGCAAAAAATTTGCATTTTGGTCATCTCAACACTTAGCACATTTCTCATGCATAGTAGTGACTGCAACATGCTTTGTCAAGATTTTGTGGTAATCTCATCAAGCAGGTATACATGTTGGTCCTGGAAACCAGCGGTACTCCAAGGCCTGATGAACCCACACTGGAGTGCTATATTTTTTAGATTTAGATTTTAGGTGCTAATTTTTATTATCAAGATAGGAAAATTTGTTGCTGGGAATTCTGTGGTACAATGCAAAAAAGCCCCAAGATGAAGTCAACATGCTCAAGTTTCAAAACCAGTTTAACCATACCTGTCCAGAGTCAAGGACTGGTGAATTTCAACTTGGCTTGGCAGTTTGATAGTTACACATTCCTTATGCATTATTGAACTTAAAGTACAGCGTACTTTGTCAAGATTTTGCAGCAATTTTATTAAGCAGGCATACTTGTAGGTCCTGGAAACCAGCGGTACTCCAGGGTCTGATGAATCCACACTGGAGTGCTATTTTCCTTCCGGATACATCCTCCTTAATTACATGATGAAACGGGAGTGCAGTATTCCCTTGATTAGACTCTGCTTGAACCTACTGGGGTGCTAGAGATTGATTTTCTTTGATCAATGCGCAGAGCTGTGGGTATATCTTCCTGAGAGGCATGCTCTTGGGTTTGTGAGACAAATTAATTAAATTGATATATCTGAGGTATACTGTTACTGTTTGTAGTAGTTTCCGATTGCTTCAAGAGGGGGCTATAAGTACTGGGTGAAATCTGAGGGCAAAATACACAGCAAACACTTTGAAATTCTTTTTGCAAACTTGTGTCTTTCATGTCACAAACTTGCTTTAATGTTGACTAAGGACACAAACTTGTTTAAAGTCTACTAAAGGGCAACTGGTAGCCTGCTTTGAACAGTATGCAACTTCCAAATTAAGTCAACTTACAGGAACTACTTTGCAATACAGTTTGATCCACTCACACATGGATGTGGCCGTCCTCAAGCACAGGACCTTTGACTTTGTATCTCATCCAATTAACTTATGTCCCTATCTAGAGTTTAAGTCAGGTACTCATTTTCACCTGAATCAAGTGAGGAGACATAAAGTACATTTTGCAAGGGCACAACATTGAGGCCTGCTAGCTATAGGGATTCGAACCCATTCTGAGTCGACAGTCTTCGCAGTAAGACTTCCCATGTGAGACTTTTTGTAGTGTTTGTGTTGTATATGTATTGCAAATGTAAATTTGTATTTGCAAGACAAGTAACAGTACTGTAAAAAGTCAGTGTTCTTCAGCATGTTTTTGTACAGGCTACGAGGCTGGTTTTTATGAATAAACTGTTTTTGAAACTTTTATCGCAACAACCCTAACCACAAGGCTTCCTTGCCAGCCGTAAAAATGTGATTGGTTTTCCCACAGAGAAATCATTAGGTGTCTAGAGCCTCTTCCTTATCCTTTCTCCCATTACCTGCCTGAAAAAATTGATTTCCGGTTTCAGTCTCCCATTTGGACTTGTAATCAACCCTGCTTTGCAGGCCGCAAGAGTCGGTCTATTACACAGAAGCAAAGTTTGATCCTATGTTTATGCACAAAGTATAAAGTGGGAAGAAGATACCTCTGTGAAAATTACGTTGAAAATTAAGAAGATTGCATTTTTTCCGAATGAAAATTTGCGTCATGCAAAAATTGCTTCGTCTTTTTTACCTCCTCTCCCATACCTTCAGAGTCTACTGTGAGATATAAATGGTCATCTTATTTTAGTAGTGTTTGAAGTGTTAAAAAAGCCTTCAATGGATGTATTTGGCCAGGCACCAAGCTGTGAAGCTTTATCGTAAATCTTCGGAATGACATTTTGCCTATAATCATTGGGTTGCCGTACTTCAAACGAGTGACATATCTATCCCATTGAAGTTTGACGTACATGTACATTTTCAAAGCAGGAGATCAAACAAAATTTAATTTTTAGCTGCCGGGAGAGAAGTACTGAAGTTAGCAGTACATTTGGGAAGTGACGTAGGTTCTAAATTGAAACTAACGTGATCAAAATGTTCACAGAGCCTACGAGAGGCAGATCTAATTTGTCTGAGTGTCTGACTTCAAAGTGATATCAAGTGTTCCCGAAGGGAGGGTTTAGAGTATGATGCCATCAAAGCTGTACCAGACATACTTTATTCATGGCACAGGGCCTGTAGTACATGTATATTCAATTCTCCAAGTATATCCAGATACAAATTGTTTTTTGTTCCGCAATGACTGTGTAGTAATAGGATGTCTGTGTGAGAAATTGGAGTTAGTGGAAAAATGATGATGTTTGCAAATTGTTGATAGTACATTTTTTTCAATTTTCCAAAGTTGATAGCAAATGGTAGCCTGGTATCCAGCCTTGTTAGCTTTAGTTCGCTACCCAAGATCCGCTCCCCGCCATGTTGACTAAAGCTAACAAGGCAGGATACCAGGCTAAGCAAATGGAGAGTGTGGAAATATTACAATCAGTCTAGTATTTATAACTACAATCATGTATATGACTCTCTTTGGAAGTAATTGGTGGACAAGTTTCAGCACCAAGGACAGCAATACATATGTACAGTTGCGGTTGACTATTCATCATTGTTGAGCAAAGGAAGTCAATAATCGATATTGCTTTGTGATTGCTCATATTAGCACCTTGAAAAATTGTAAAACAAATTGTTTATGTTATGTTTGCAAATCATTGATAGTACACTTTTTAACCATGTTGTGTTAAAGTTGATATTAAGTTAATATAGCAAAAGGACAATAATGGTCCAGTGTTTTTATTATCTCTCTTTAGAATTGATCGGTGGACAACTTTTAGGACCAAGGACAGCAGCTTGCACTTATTGACCAAGGGCAATCAACAATCATTATTATCATGAAAGTTCATCTGTGTTGGTAGTAATCATAGTAAAAGGTTGAACTTTATCACGTTGTGAAGTGATTGGTCATTAATTATCCTGATGAAGGCGACAGTGGTCGCTGAAAATTTGAGCCCTGTACAATTGTGTGTTGGAATAAAGTTCAACCTTTTACAACAATCATTATTGCTTTTTGATTAGCAACTTGAAAAATCTAACAAAAAGTTTACATTGTGCTTTCTCTCTCTGCCAGCTCCAGAAGTCTACATGACTGCTTTGGAGATGTGCAGGGGATACAGCTACAGTGTCGACTGGTGGTCACTGGGTGTTGTTGCATACGAGATGCTCAGGAGAAAGGTGAGAACCTTGATTAATACAAACTCTTCATTCTACATTATACAAAGTAAATCAAGGCTTATGCCACACACTATCACTCACTCACAGTCCAGTTTAGTGTCTGCCACAGTGACTATATAAATAATTATAATGTGAAAAAAAATTATGGAGGGAACTCTGGTACCAAAACGTTTAAAAGGAGCAGAAATAATATCAAAGTTTGAATTCAAAGTTTTTTTAGCATAACACTGCAGTAAACTCTGTGATACATACAATGCACATATACTGCATATAACAATTAAATGTTTCACTTTCTTATGTAAATGTCTGTTCTTTCTTCAAAGTTCACCTCATAAATGGTCCAAATCCCATTTCGTAAAATCTCAGAGTTGTTCATGTGAAAACAAAAAAACAAGTCTGTTGGAACGACGGCCTCTATCAATATTTAGAGGTTCTATATCATGCTGCAGGCAAGAAAGCGATGACTGACATTCATTTAAATAGATAGCGATGTTTCCTTTCCTGAACAGAGCCAGCTGAAGGTCAATTTAAGCTTTTCTATCATGGCCGTTGTGTAGAGACATGCCCAGCAGGGATACAGTTCATGCATGTATGAAATCTGCTGGCTGAGTCTGACCTTGGACAAGTGTGTAGAGGTCTCAGCATATATAATGTACAATCATTCATCAAGAAGTTTGACCAGACTAAAACTCAAGTGAACTGTTGTGTACACCAGACTGAAACAATGATTTTAATTTTGACGAATATTAATACCAAAACACACAACAAAAGTTCAGCTACACTGGGGAGCTTTCGAGACGTACTCTGTCTCCTCTTCAACCCAGTTAAGATCTCGTCTTGGAGTTCTCTTGTCACATGACTTGATAGGATAATCATGTGACAAGAGACAGTCGAATACAAGTTTCAGGTAGTGACGCCCTCTGTCTCTATAATGAAACAATGATCTTTTGTAGAAAAGGTTTGGCTGAAAATTTGGTAACAATGCACTGGTCTATTTGATTTCTTTTCTGTGTCCAGAATAGGCAACACCTGGGCAATCTTGCTGTTAGTAATTTGAATCAAGTGGGCTCTGAAAGTAAATCTACTTGCCAAGGGATATCATCTAATGCAAAAGTTTCCAACAGGACATCCCTAACCAAAGCTAGGCACTCATTTTCACCAGAGAGGAGTGAGGAAATAGGTGTTAAGTACAATCATGTACCTTAAATTCCAAGGGCATAAATGCTTTTAAAGTAGCGCTAAGAACATATGACCTCTGACCCTGACCTCACGGACAACCGACTGTCATTATTTGACAATACGACTATGCTTAACGATTTTGACTATTTGTTTTGGTTGTTCCGTTGTGTTTGTATGATTGATTATTTGTACCCTCTGTTTATATTATTTATTGTCATTTGCCACGATTGATCATTTGATTAATCTGTTTTATTTTGTTTAATCTTATTGTATTCCATGTTGTCCAATGTGTATGTTCTGTTGGGCTACCTTGGAAATCAGTCTTTCAGAGACTGAAGGTACCACCCAACTGTTTTTAAGAGCAATAAATAAATAAAAATATATCTGGGGCCTGCCAGGGATTCCAACCCAGAGCCTTCAGAATCAACAACTCTAAATAAGGCCATGTTGATTTGATTATATGGATGACATCCGCGCGCGCATGAATTTTCGGCCGTTTCCAAAAAAAAAAAAAGTTTTCAACCATACTGTAAATCGTACAAAAAAGTTGCAAAATGATCAAAAATATACCTTAAGTTACAAAAAAAATAAGTAAAAACTATACCAATGTCGTAGAATGCCAAAATCAAACGAAAAAAGACGAAATTGTAAGGAAATGAACTTGAAGATTAGATTATTCGCCAAACCATATTCTGTCCCATTTGTTCAATTTGTTCATCATACATCCTTTTTGCGGATGTGCTACTATATATGTATCGAATGGGATCACTTGAGCCGACGTTATTCCCCTTAACCCCAAAACAACCGACTGCACATTTTCTACTCTCCCGACTTCGCACCATCAAAACACGAAGATGTGTGAACTAGATTAATGGGGTACTCTACTACTTTACTGCTACCTCGTGAGCATGTCCATGCTCTTAATGTACCATGCTTATTTATGGAGTGACTAATAGATAAAAGCACAAGTATCCACTGATACACACGAGTGGTATCAGTCCATGCAGCAAATGAAAATCCACAATCACACATGCATAATATTCTATAAAACCAGCACATAGACCAGTGCAGGTTAGGTGCAGGTAGACATCAGAAATACCTGCACAGCTCCAATTTTACCTGCACTAAGGTGCATATGCCGACTCATTATTTCTATCCCTGTGTCTATATGCAACTGATGGCCTAGAACATCGTTAAGAAAGAGAAGGGGACCTTCCATGCCACATGTAGTATTCCCCTTACAGCTGCAATAAAAATGAAAATATTATCTTGAAAGTTCATCTTTGTTGGTAGAAGTCATTATGCAGCAAGTTTATGAAAATATGGTAATGTTTACAAAGCTTACCAACATGTTGTAAAAAAAATAACATTCAACCTTCTAGTAAACAAGGTAAACAAAATAAACATTTCTAGTAAAATATTAAACTTTCTTCCAACACAAAGATTACACAGAGATCAAATTTTCAATGGCCACTGTCACCTTCATCAGGATCATACGTTTTAAAGTGATTGGTCATAAATTATCCTGATAAAGGTGACAGTGGTCACTGAAAATTTGATCTCTGTGTAATCTTGGTGTTGGAATGAAGTTCAACATTTTGCTATGATTACTACCAACACAGATGAACTTTCATGATAAAACAAAATATTTGTGTTGTGTTTTCCCCAGAGGCCTTATCACATCCACACAGTGACATCTCTACAGGAGGTGGTGCACCAGTTTGAGACAACGGGCGTGCACTTCTCCTCCCAATGGTCCAAGGACATGTGCAATCTACTTAGGAAGGTGAGGACTGTTCTTTTCTTAAATTTTCTAGAAAATAGCTGCATTCTGCTGCCTCTTTGTGGCTTACACGAAATGGGGTTCGCCAGGCCTTCATCCAGGAAAGTCGTGTAAATAGTCCTTCCCGAGGGCACAAGATCCGTGACATGGCAGGGTTCGAACCCGAGAAATCTTGGTTCTGAACCGAACACTCTGCTGTTACGCCACATCCCCCTCTCTAAGATACAGCTTGCTAGGACAGCTGCCATTGGTCAAGGTAAAGGGCTAGGACAGCTGCCATTGGTCAAAGGGTTACAGCAGTTGCCATTGGTCAACGTAAAGGTCTAGGACAGTTGTTATTGGTCAAAGTAAAGGGCTAGGACAGTTGTCATTGGTCAAGGGAAAGGGTCAGAACGGCTGTCATTGGTCATGGTAAAGAGCCAGAGCAGTTGCCATTGGCCAAGGGAAAGGGCTACAGCAGTTGCCATTGGCCAAGGGAAAGGGCTACAGCAGTTGCCATTGGCCAAGGGAAAGGGCTACAGCATTTGCCATTGGTCAAGGGAAAGGGTCAGAACAGTTGCCATTGGCCAAGAGAAAGGGATAGAACAGTTGTCATTGGTCAAATTAAGGGCTAGGATAGTTGCCATTGGCCAAAGCAAAGAGCCAGAACAGTTGCCGTTGGCCAAGGGAAAGGGCTACAGCAGTTGCCATTGGTCAAGATGAAGGACCAGAACAGTTGTGATTGGTGAAGATGAAGGGCCAGAACAGTTGTGATTGGTTAAAGTAAAAGACCACAACAGTTGCCATTATTGGTCAAGGAAAGGGCCAAATCATCAGTTGCCATTGGTAAAAGTAAAAAGACATCCCTGCAATTTCAAAATGAAATGTTCCTAATTATTAAAGTTTGCACCAACTGCATTACATAATATATTAACATCAGCACCCTGGGGCTTGTGTAATTTGTTTTGTAATTAGTCCATGAAATGACAGCTTGATGCAATATTAGCCCAGCAAGTGAAGCATGACATGACAGTATTAATGAGGTTATATCAAAACATGAAAATCTTGCATGTGACTTACCATGAAGATTTGCCCTCAGTTTTATTCTGACGACAGTTGCAAAACCTGTTGTTCTCAGAGTACTGGTACCTTCTCTTTATAATTAATATCCAACCATAAACTGGTTATGTTACTGATAGATAATAAATATCTAATCTAGCCATAACATTATTGCTTTGCCTCGTTATTAGAGGCTTTTGGCATTTAATATCCCATATGGTCTAGTGGTTAGGATTTGGCGCTCTCACCGCCAAGGCCCGGGTTCAATTCCCGGTGTGGGAACCACTGTAAGAAGCAAGGAGGAGCCAGTAAAAACCCTTCTGGTCCCGGGCCGGGGTTCGAACCCACGACCTCCCGGGCACCAGAGCTTCATAACCGGACCCGTTTGCTGGATCAGTTGGTAGCGCCTATAAACCCGCCACTGTTACATTGTCACACTGGGTTTTATCTTTTTGTTGCTAAAGAAACTTTCAGCTTTGTCCATAACAGTTAATTTGTTCCTTGCCGCAGAATTACATTACGTTATGTAAAAAACATTTTAAATTCAAATTGGGGATCAAAACAAGGCAGTGCTTCAGTTGATTTTTGCGGTGGTAAGTTGCAGCATTATGGTCTAAATTTATGAACACTGTGTTACATGTATGTGCAGTGTGTACATGCAATTCAGCCTCTTGCTGAAATGTAGCAACATACATCACAGTGTATTGGTCGTGCTTTTGAAGCTGTAAAACATTGTCCATGTTCTGGAGCCAGTTGTTAACAGTCGATATTCACCACATAAATCATAATTCAGCCTATTGCCGGGAGGTAGCAACATACGTACATTACAGTGCATTGATCGTGGTTGTGAATTACCATTGATCTATTACTCTCATGTTCCCTGTGCCAGTTTTTGATGTTCACCACACAATTCAACCCAGCTATTGCTGCAAGGTAGCAACATACGTTACAGCTGTAATTGACAGAGCTTGTGATATAAGCCATTGATCTACAAATGTATTACTCTCATTTTCCCTGTGCCAGTTGTTCATATCCACACAATTCAACCTATTGCTGCAAGGTAGCAACATACATTACAGGTGTTATTGACAGAGCTTGTGAAATATACCATCTATTATCATAAAGATCTATTACTCTCATGCTCCTTTTGCCAGTTTTTTTATATTAACCACACAATTCAGCCTATTGCTGCAAGGTAACAACATACGTTGCAGCTGTAACTGACAGAGCTTGTGATATAAGCCATTGATCTACAAATGTATTACTCTCATTTTCCCTATGCCAATTGTTCATATCCACACAATTCAACCTAGGTAGCAACATACGTTATAGGTGTAATTGACAGAGCTTGTGAAATATACCATCTATCATCACAAAGATCTATTACTCTCATGTTTCTTTTGCCAGTCGTTCATATTCACCACACAATTCAACCTACTGCTGCAGGGTAGCAACATACATCACAGGTGTAATTGAGAGTGCATGTGAAATAAATTTGATATAGATTGTATTACTCTCATGTTGGAGCTACATGTATTTGACTCATTTGCATCAATCTTGTTTTGACTTTGTCTAAATTTTTAATAATGTCTTTACTCTATTTTCATATTATTGATAGTTGGTGATTGTGATCTTGATCTCACCAGTGTCATCTGAAATGTCTGACAGTTTCCAAAATCATTTCCAGCTGCTTGAGTAACTGTTTTTTGGCGTATCTCATTACATGAATGTCTAACCTTCACTGACATAACAGCACATTGATTATGCTTGTGATTTTTGTTAAATAAACCACTGAGATCTACATTAAAATCTTGCAACTCCCCTGTTCCCCCATGCAGTTGTTGTCAGTTGATATAGACCAGAGGCTATGCAGTCAGTGAGTCAGTCATCTTACGTATTACAGTTTTCATGTAGTGTACCTTCGGGCCTGGTCACATACGTAATGTGAAATAAACCATTGATATGTAATCCTCCTGTTCCCCCCTGCAGTTGTTGTCAGTTGATATCGACCAGAGGCTATGCAGTCTGTGTGTCAGACTGTCATGGTCACATGTGCAACAACTCGACCAGAGTCCATAGTTGCAAAGCTTAAGCTTTAAGTTCCAACACAAGAGGGAACTCACCATAAATTTTCGGTTGAACTGTCAGATGAATGATGCACTTACTGACTATCCGGAAGTCGGGACCGTGATGATGTCAGAAGTGCATCAAAAGTGGCTGTTTTGGGCATGCAGCATTCATTGTGCTTGACAATCATGAAATGAGCCATTGAGATATAACATAACTCCGTTTTTCCCTCAGTTGTTGTCAGTTGATATCGACCAGAGGCTATGCAGTCTGTGTGAGATGAAGCAGCACTCGGCCATGGCAGGCTGTCATGATCACATGTGCAAGTTTTTTTCACATGCAGGGGAACATGAGTGACGCATCTTGAATTCAGAGCTAGACATTTTTTCATAACCATTGATATATTACTCCCCTGTTCCCACAGTTGTTCAGTTGTTGTCAGTTGACATTGAGTTGCGTTCATGCTGTGAGGTATTAACTATCATTTAACAGCACATTGATTACGCTTGAGATTTTTGTGAAGTACATTTTGTACTAGACTAAGCAAACTATTGATACACAATTCCCCTGTTCCCTTAGTTGTTGTCAGTTGATATCGACCAGAGGCTATGCAGTCTGTCTGAGTTGAAGCATCACTCGGCCATGTCAGACTGTCATGATCACATGTGCAACAACTCCTAAGAAGTTTTTTTACATACGTCAGAACACGAGTGACGCATATTGAATTTAGACATGTTTTTAACTTTCATTATATTCCCCCAGCTGTTGTCAGTTGACATTGACTAGCCTTATTGCTGCAAGATATCAATGGTAACATAACAGCACATTGATTGTGCTTGTGATTTTCATGACATAAACCATTGAGATCTAACTCCCCGTTCTTTTCTTTTTCATTGAAACATATTGACAAAACATGGTGATGGCACACTCAAGTAACACTTATGTTCATACCACCAACACATAAGACAAATTATAATACATAGGACAAGCAAAGCACAAATTAACATAGTACTTAAACGATGAACAAGTCAACAAACATATCCAAAGACTGACAGGACCAACATGCTATGAATTCCCCTGTTCCTACAGTTGTTGTCAGTTGATATCGACCAGAGGCTATGCAGTCTGTGTGAGATGAAGCAGCACTCGGCCATGTCAGGCTGTCATGATGACATGTACAATTTTTTTTTACATGCAGGAGAACATAAGTGACGCATCTTAGACACATTTATAACCATTGATATATTACTCCCCTGTTCCCCCAGTTGTTCAGTTGTTGTCAGTTGACATTGACTAGTCTTCTAGCTGCAAGGTATCAACAATTGTAACAGCACATTGAATATGCTTCTTGTGATTTTTGTGAAATAAACCATTGACATACAACTCCCCTGTTCCCCCCTGCAGTTGTTGTCAGTTGATATCGACCAGAGGCTATGCAGACTGTCTTGATCACATGTGCAACAACTCCCAAGAAGTTTTTTCACATGTGCGAGATCACGAGTGACGCATATTGAATTTAAAAGTGGCTGTTTTGGGTATGCAGCATTCATTGTGCTTGACAATTATGAAATAAGCCATTGAGATATAACATAACTCCCTTGTTCCTACAGTTGTTGTCAGTTGATATCGACCAGAGGCTATGCAGTCTGTGTGAGATGAAGCAGCACTCGGCCATGTCAGGAGTCGACTGGGACGGCCTGCAGGCTCGCACCCTCCCATCACCGTTTGTGCCACCCGTGAGTCATCCTATTTATGTGTTTATATGATACTTAATGTTGATTCATCCATCATGCACTGTATATTAAGTCCCTGTCACTCATTCACAATCAACTGGTGCAATGGCCAAGTGGGTAGAGTGTTCGCCTTGTATTCGGTAGGTCGTAAGTTTGATCCCTGGCTGAGTCATACCAAAGATTTAAAAATGGTTCATACTGGTTCCTCTGCTTGGCACTCAGCATTTGAGAAAGAGTGTGGGAGTTAAACACGCATTGCTACCGGCATCTTACATATTACAATTGTCATGTAGTGTACCTCAGGGCATAGTCACATGCGTCATGCATGCAATCAGTGTTCACTAGCTCTGAAGAAGACTCATATACAGATCCTCCAGGGTGTATGAGATAGCTTGCCACATGAGGAGTAACCAAGAGTAAGTTTAGGCAGGAGTTGATAGGGTAACGTTACATATGTAGATAGTTGCAGTAATGCGGTATACCAGTAGTCAAGTGAATTGGCACATGTGGTGTTAAGTTTTAAAATGTAGATCTATGCATGAAGCTGTATGTAAATAATGTTACGATTTTGATGTAGGTTGTATGATGTATGTCTAACTCCAGGAAGAGTAGCTATGGTCTGTTTGTATGCTTGCTAATGAAGGAAAGCACCTACATGTAAAGCACCTAACTAGGAGCTTTCTTCCATAAATAATTTCATAAGGTTGCTGAGTGATTGAATATCACAAAGTTCTTGGTTCACAACAACTTGTTTACAAGAGCTGACCCCTTGTGACAGAAGAGACTGTCTTATATCTGTGTTGAATAAACTCACCAACCTCCAAACCAAATTATTTACGTATGTCTCTCTAGAAGGACCACCTAAACTGCGACCCAACGTTTGAGCTGGAAGAGATGATTATAGAGTCTAAACCTCTGCACAAGAAAAAGAAGAGACTCGCCAAACAGCATTCACAGGACAGGAGACAAAGCAACAACGTAGGTTCATAACTCTCCATTAGAAAACTGTCTATTGTCCTCTGCATTGGAGCCGGCATAAGTTTAAAAGAATTGAGTGTGCGGTCATCATATCTTGTGTTAAATGTTGGAGTAAAAAAAGAAACTGTCTCTACTTCTAGAGATCTTGCAAGATGATAGGTACACTACTGTTGATAAGTGCACATTCTATATATTATGTATATTGCAATTGTGTATTTTTGCATGAAAGATGAAATATTCAGCATTTGCTTGCAAACGTTTGCCTAGTGTTTTTAGTGCATATGTTTTCGGACAGTGAAAAATTTATAATTTACCTTGAATATTTGTAGTCTTTTTCTAAATTCTTTACACGTCTTCTGTGAAGCACTGTGATTCTTTATCCAGAAACTGTCTTACCAAAGGATTGAGAAAATAGATTTAAAACTAAACGCACTGTAGAGATTAATCAAAATCCTCGTATGGTGTTTTCTTATCCCTGTGTGCAACACACGTTGCAGGCAGAGTTACAAAACCCACTACAGCCCCAACTGGACCAGCTACAGAGACAATTCAAAGTGTACAACAGAGAAAGGTAGGAGCAACCTCCACTTCTTTCGGTCATACTTGGTCTATTGAAAGTGATTTTAAGCAATCCACATATTTTTACGTTACTTCTGTTGTTTGTTTTTGTTCAGATTCAATGCTGTTTTCTGTTATGATAGACTTTCATTGAATAATATGAATTTGGATTATAAATATGTTGAGAAGTTTCATAGTAGGACAAAATGCACAGATATCTTTGCATGGTTGTATACAAAAGCTGAGTAGTAACAATAAATAACCTCAATATACATTAAAAGCCTTTCAAGGTGAACTGCACAAACTATGTACATGTACCAAATATGCCATTTGTTAGCTATAGATAGCAGTCATTATGAAAAATAGCTCCAGGCCAAATTAGTGCCCAAATTACCCTTATCTAGCCCGTTGGAATCTCCGTCACCGAATGCGATGACGTCTTTAGTCTTGTAGTCGTGCCTCCCATGCCTGCCGGGCAGCCAGATCATGTTATATCAGACGATACAACAAGGGTGTAACGCACAGGCTCTGCCTCTAAGTGCATGTACTTCGGCAGGGCTCACTGATGTTATCTGTAACTACAACAGAAGAGGGTGCATGAAGCTAGCGGTCTACCCCTGCCCTGCCCACGCAGAGCAATTTACTAACAGACCTAAGGCCACAGCAAGTAAATTTTATGGATGACATCCTCCGCAGACTCCAAATCTAATACGAGCGGGCGAAAAAAAAAACAAGACGGGCCGAAAAAAACAAGATTCCTACATTTTAAAATTTTGACTCAATCATGGTACAACTGGTTTTAATTCAGTGGGGACATCAGATATTCACAGCCAGCCACACATATCACTGCATCAAAGTAAGAAACAAAACATTAAATAAGAGTCTTTAATTTTCTCTCCTCTCTTCATATGTATCTGCCATCCACCTCCCGGCGTGGCAACAGACATCTTTAATATTAGGCAACAAAATTCCTTGTTTTTTTTTTTTCAAAATCAGCCAAAAATCAATGCGCGCGCTGATGTCATCCATAAAAATTACTTGCTCTGGCCTAAAGGCGATGCTAATGCATTTCCCTGGCATCGCAGCGCCTCACATCTTGTTCTCTGCGTGGCGAGATTCAAAGGTTTTTGCGTAATGCCAGGATTGAAAACCTATTTGGTGGGTGGATAAGTCCTACGTTTACGGCAGGCGCATGAAAAGGTCTGTCTGAAGTGGGGATCGCCAGTGTCACCTTGCTGTTGTGATATGATATATTTCTGTCAACCCGTCTGGGTCCTTTATTCCATGGATGAAAGCCAGTGTGGTGTTATGACTTAAGTGCAAACGGATCGTAGCCTGGAGTCAGTATAAAATGTGATTTTCCTTCACCTTGCTTGATGTCGTGAAATGCGTCCACTGACATCGTCCCTGCTGCCTGACACTTAAACCAATACATAGCCACTGCCAAAATTTTATCCCAGCATGGCAAAGGTTAAAAAAGGAACCTGCCTATTTGTTAGGGAAGTAGAATCTTGATAAAGCCCCCGTTCTTTGTTACAAATGGTCAAAATATGGTAGAAATTGTGATGTAGAAATGAGGAAGGGACAACCAACAATCCATCCATGTAAACCCTAGTCCCTGGTGCTGAAACAAACCTACCCACCCACCCAAACACACACATTCCTGTCCTTGGTGCTGAATGAAACTCACCACCCTCAAACACACATCCCTGTCCTTGGTGCTGAACTACACACACCCACACACATCCCTGTCCTTGGTGCTGAAGTACACCCACCAACAAACACACATCCCTGTCCTTGGTGCTGAACTACACCCACCCACAAACACACATCCCTGTCCTTGGTGCTGAACTACACACACACACAAACACAAAAACACACATCCCTGTCCCATGTGATGAACTACACACACACACACACACACACACACACACACACACACACACACACACACACACACACATCCCTGTCCTTGGTGCTGAACTATACCCACCCTCAAACACACATCCCTGTCCTTGGTACTGAAGTGCAGAAATACCTCCGCCCACAAACACACATCCCTGTCCCTGTAAGTGATAATCTAAACCCATTTGCTAGCCTTAGATCCAGACCAAAGTGTAACACTCTGTGTATACAGGAGACCCAGACATGCTTTCAACTGCACAGATTTATGTGGCTCCAATACAAAGTACCCTAATTGCCCTTTAGCTTGTTCTTTGACATCTCATCCCCTCCTGAACGGCTCTCATGAATCTGCTGGGATGAAAATCTCCAGCTTTGAGCCTATTCTATCCTGTAAGCCAATGTTTCTAAATACATATTAATTTTATAGACATTCAGAATTCAGAGATTTTCTTCTGTTTGCTCTCAAAATAACATGTTTTGTAACATCTACCCTTGCAGCCTTAAGCCTATTCTATCCTGTAAGCCAATGTCTCTAAATACAAATTAATTTTATAGACATTCAGAATTCTCTCAGAGATTTCCTTCCACCTACGCTGTAGTAAAGGATACTATTCTATCCTACAACTCAGTGCAAGCCAACATTTCTAAGTACAGATTAATTTTATGGACTATTAGAATTCAGAGATTTTCTTCAGCTTGTGCTGCAGTAAAGAATCCGTCCTCTTGAAATAGTCATAACTTTTCAACAACATGTTTTATAACATCAAACCTGGTGGCTAAAAAGGTCTAAATATAGATTAATTTTATAGACTTTAAGAATTCCAAGATTTTCTTCATCTTGTGCAGTAGTAAAATTAGGGATCCATCCACACGAAATCATACGTCATGACTTTTCATAACATCTAGTATCCATGCAGCTTAAAAGCTAGGAGATTACAGCATCTATCGCTGCCCTTTTGAACAATCCTCCCCCACTCCATCAGTTTGACTCTCCTTAGCAGGGGATCAGCAGATGACCTTTCCCACCGCTAAGCATCGCCGTCTTAAACGTCTATCTATCTTCACTTAGGGAGACCTGACCTTGTGGCAAGGCCTAGGGAAAAAGTGTTGTGTTTCCTGACTGACCCTAGAAAAGGCTGCCAACCCTAGGCGTTTTTGTGGACCCTGCAAGGGACAGATCTTTGGAGCTGATGAGCTTGTTTTAGCTCCATGATCTGAGGGATGAAACATTGTACAAATTATCAAACCGTCAGATTTTTTCAGGACTGAAACAGGAAACACAGCATTCTGTTCCAAGGCCTAAGCATCAATGTCTTAAACATCCATCTATCTTCACTTAGGAAGACCTGACCTTGGTGTAATGTTTGGCCTAGCTCATTGCTGTAAGGCCTAGGGGAAAATGTTGTGTTTCCTGTTTTAGTCCTGGAAAAATTAGGGTCGGTAGGTAGGGATTATCTTTTTTTTATCTTTTATTTTTTATTAGACTTTGGAAATCTCTATAGTGATCCAACTTAGACAATACAGTATGTGGACACTTATATTTTCAATGTCAATGTTAGAAAACCAATTTTACCAGTACAAGGTGTTTATCACCCAGGTGTCAGATCAGATCATGGAGTTAAAGGTTAAAGCTCGAAAAAATTTATATCCCATGCAGGGGTCCACCCAAAAAAGGCTAGGGTCGGCAGGTTTTTCTAGGGTTTCGGAAAACAAGAAACACAACACTCTTTTTCTTAGGCCTAATATCTGGCCTAGCTCATTGCTCTAAGTGCCCAATAGGGACAAACCATCATAGCTTTCATTTTTATGTTTTTCTCTTAATATTCAGTCATGACATGTATTTTTCTCATTCTCTAGTGTGTTTTCTTTTTTTTTTAATCGATATATTTCCAACCTAAAATTTTTGCTGCTGCCTCTTTGCAACCAGTGTCTTCTAAAGTAGAAGATACAGAAGATGTAAAATGGATGTTGGGCCATTACAGTGAACCCTTTTAGGCTGTTACCAAATGCGCTGCTCTTTTCCTCTTGACAGGAGAAAATTCGGCCATGATATCAAGTTTTTTTTCTCATTCTCTGGTGTGTTTTCCTTCTCTTTTTTTCATTATCTCCAACCTAAGATTTTGCTGCTGTCTCAATGCAACTACATGTAGATTCTTCCAAGCTGGAATATAGATGTTGGATCATTAACGTGAACCCTTTTAGGCTGTTACCAAACGCGCTGCTCTTTTAAATTCCTCTTGACAGGAGAAAATTCAGCCATGACATCAATTTTTTTTTCTCATTCTCTGGTGTGTTTTTCTTTTCTTTTTTTAATTTCTTTTTCCAACCTAAGATTTTTGCTGCTGTCTCTAAGCATGATAGGGTCTTCCAAGGTGGAAGATTCAGACAATGTAAAATGGATGTGAACCCTTTTAGGCTGTTACCAAACGCGCTGCTACTTTTCCTCTCAACAGGAGAAAACAGGAGGAGCAGGCAGCGGCCGACAGACTGGACGCCGGGGTTCCCGAGAGGAAGCGCTCGTTTATCGACTTAATGGTCAGGAGAAGCGAGCGGAAGGAGTCCACGGTCAAAAATCCGAACGCGGGGGCGCATCTGAAAGTGGAAGAGGGATAACACGATGCCAGGGCTCGAAATTCATTTTTGGGAACTGTAGGTGCACTGGTGCACCCAAGCTAAAAGATTAGGTGCACAAAAAATATTTTAGATGCACCATGTAAGATAAGATATTTATTAAGCAGAATGTCAGCAAAAACTATAATTATGTTTCATTTCAAGAAGTACATAGTAATTACTTCACATTTAACATCTTTACATACGTTAAACCTAAGAAAATATTTGGGTGCACTGGTGCACCCACAGAAAAAAACTGGGTGCACAGCTCCAACTATGGTCCATGTGCACTTAAAGGTGCACATGGACCCAGTATTTCGAGCCCTGCGATGCAAGGGCAGGACACTTTGAACACTACAGCCCTGTCTAATGGACTGTGAGACAACAGGCAAGCCCGTATCTGATGCAGACGGTCGGTACAACTCCTGTGGATGCAAGCTGCAGGTCAGACTCAGAGGAAGATCTTATTGGCAAGACCTCAAGACTACATTTGTACATTGCTATGTTTCACATTCTCGTTAAGATTGTACAAGTCCTTCAGGTTGTGTGTTAAAAAGATATGGTACACATTTTGCAATGAATGTAGTGTTCCTCTAAATCAGAGGACTCAGAGGAAGATCTAGGCAAGACCTCGAGACTACATTTGTACATTGCTATGTTTCCCATTCTCATTCTTACGAGAAATGATAGACTAAGTACATGTACCTAAATCAGAGTCCTTCAGGGGGGATGTTAGAGATATGGTACACCCGTGAATAGTTTCATCAGGTTGGTAAGACACTGCATGGGTAAAGAGACTCTTTTTACACAACCATGTCTTTTATGCATCTGTAGCAGCAACACCTGTGCTGCAATGCAATGTGAACCATTCAGAATTGCCCTGAGGAAGGTGACAGATGGTCACTGAAACATCGGCTGAATAAAAGACTTGGTTGTGTAAAAAGAGTCTCAGTTTTTACTCTGATATGGTGCACATTTTGAAATGAATGAAGTGTTCCTCTAAATCAACTTATGGTCATACAACATTGTCTCCATTATAGATCACACAGGAAAGGGCAAGATTTGAAACAGGCTTGTTTTTTTTCTGATCTGATCTTTGCACGTTTTTTCAACAGAAGTATTACGTAAATGCCAACAAGTGTGGCGCTTCCAGAGCTGAAGCTTGAAGTTTGGCGTGTGTGTTGAACAGCTACATGTAACGTTACCTACGGACTCTTGAATGCTTCAAATCAGTGCTATGTCACTGGTAGAAAATGTATAGGTACATTAAGATAGCAAAATCCAAAATTGTAGCAGGCTAGCTTTTTGTGTTTTTTTTTGTGGTTGGGGCATTTCTTATTTATTAGTCAGTTGCAAAGGATGTTTTATGTCCTTTGGTAACATCCTGGTCGTGATGCTCCAGTGAGGGGTTTTGACCAGTACATAGAAATAGAAATAGAAACTGAAGGTGGACTATGCAGAGTTTAGCTCTATCTAGTGTAAAGATCCAGTGCATGGGGGGTGGGGCACGCCATGATTCAATCACGTTAAATCATGTTACCTTAGTTTATAGTTTACTTTCCATCTCATATCTTGTCCAAAATCTTGCATAGTCCATCCTTTAAAACAAAAAATAAGGCTCAGTATTTATTTACATACAATTCACATATGATTAACAGTATTTAACTGCATATTAGTAATATTATATATCGGGAATGTGCAAAAATGTAAAGAATGTGTATTTTTACCAATAAACGGAAAGTAACAATTTTCAGAGGGCCAGAAAATGAGATTAAAAATGTCATTGAGATTTACTTATGCTGGAGCAAGGTACTTAGTACATGTATTCAATAGAAGGGCAAAGAAGAACACATTGTACAAAAGTTTTAAACTTCCTCATGCTGGTTACAGAGTGTCCAACTGTAGCTGATTCCCTCTGTATGCCTTCAAAATGATGGTAGACACAGCAGTTTGTATATACATTGTATCTGTCATTGTATACAATGACTATGTTTTGTATAACATTATATCTGGATAGCTATGGTCAACAATTGCCCTCCTATAAAAGTTCTAATTAGATAAGTCTTCACACATATAAGGCCTTCACTAACAAAGTTATGTCAGGTAAAAAGAATTCAAGACAGAGACTCAAACACAAAAATGGTAACAGGCTACTGACTGTCTTGAAGATTAATTAAAAAAGAAACTTTGTGCTTAATTGTTTTTAAACTCCAAGCAGATGTTTCACAAATAATGGTTTTCTGATAACCCCCAATTTCTGACAGGGTTTTTCACTAGTGAGAAGACCAAACTGATCAGGAAACCTAAATCTATCCTCATGTCTGCTGATAAGAAGAATATACAGTTTTTGAGAAAATGATAATCAATTTACAATATATGAACCTAGCAAATGTTATAGCCAGACTACCTTCAAGTATTGGTACAGTTACTGGTTATGTCATCTGTTGTTGACATGCATATTTATTCCAGTTTTCACATGAAATGCGGCAAGTACAATGTATGTATCGGTTGTGTGAAACGTTTTTATTCTGTTTGAGATATTCCAAATCTATATATATTTGACATGTATAAAGAGTGTTGCTACAGGAATATATAGACAAGTGTTTTTGAGTGTATATTATTAGGTGGCTTGTCTGACTGACCGGTAAAGGAAGCAAAGAGTTGGTCACTACACGGTAGAACTGCGTAGTTGTTGCTGTAGATTTGCGAAATGGACTGCTTTTCTTACATAGAGCCAAGTTGCAGTGTTAGTTATCAGATGCAGTATATTTGGAAGCGTGTACTACTAAGGCCACACCAATTTAATTTGTTGGTTCTCGGATTTTTTCAGAAAACATATGAAGTGACAGGGCAAAAAAAAATAAAAATAAAAACAGCTCTAGGCATCCTATTATAGGCTTAAATGCTATGGAATGAGCCATGAAGTCAACACAAAAGGCTGGGTTAAAATTTAAACATTGAATTTTGAACTTTTAATCAAACCACTGCAATGATAGATGGGAAAACTGTAACAACTAGGAAGAAAAGGACTTTCCTCAACTGTTGGGGGCAAAACATTGAGCATTTTTCAGTTGATTCAGGACCAGAATCAAATTTTTTTTTTTTTTTTGCAAATCAGAAAAAAACGAAGAGGCGAATCCGAGAACCAACAAATTAAATTGGTGTGGCCTAAGTACTAGTAGATAAAGTAGCCAGTGCCTGATTAGAAATATCACAGTGTTAACTTAAAAGTCAGAAACTCTTCAGTGGGACAAAGTGACGATTTAATTTATGCAAAAATATGAATAAAGTCAGCCAAAGACACTGCAGGATTGTGACATTTTATCTTAGGCCACAGCAAGTAATTTTTATGGATGACATTGCCGCGCGCATTAATTTTCGCCTGATTTTGGGAAAAAAAACAAGAAATTTTGTTGCCCTCTGACAGAGGTCAACATACCGAAAATGGGCAAAGATGTCTGTTGCCACGCCCGAAGGTGGATGGCAGATAACTATAAAGAGAGGAGACAAGAAAAGGCTCTGATTTAATGTTTTGTTTATTACTTTAATGCAGTGACATGTGATGCTGGCTGTGTATATGCGATGTTCCCACTGAATCAAAACCATTTGTACAATGATTGAGTCAAAATTTTAAAATGTAGGAACCTTGTTTTTTTCGGCCCACCTTGTTTTTTTTCGCCCCCCTCGCATTAGATTTGGAGTCTGCGGAGGATGTCATCCATAAAATTTACTTGCTGTGGCCTTATTGTGGAATATTCATAGTTTGACATCTTCTCTTGCAACTTGTGAAGGTCAAGAAATGATCATGTATTGACAATATCTCTAATATCGGAAGGTACGAGCAAGGGCACAAAAGGACAGCAAGACTGTCAATGCAAAAGGACGTTCCCATGGCAACAGTGGTCTGTTAGTGTTTACTGGAATTCCTAAGTTAGCATTTCTGAGGACATTGCCTTCAAGTTGGTTTTCCCGCTTATACAAATTCCCGCAGACACATTTCTGTCCATTGGCATTCCTTTGGACCATTGGCACAATCTGTAGTAAACATTCCTATCAGATAGAACGTCCTTGATGGGACGAACAACATTCTTGTGCTGCCTATACCATTAGGCTCGCTCATGCATGAGGCGTCGCCAAAAACTAAAACGTAGTACAACGACGCCCTCTGGCGGATGATGCAGGGATAGCAGAATGAAGAAATATTCACGGAAAGAGATGGGGCCCTTTGACCAGCCTCTTTGCAGGCCCCGCGGCGGTGGGGAAGGGTTTATAACGCGTTATTTCAATATACCCGGCCATCCGACATAGCCGCCGAGAGAAGATTCCACTCGGCGGAGTAGGATGGCCGGCTATATCAAAATAACGCGAAAAACTCTTCCCCACCGCCGCGGGGCCTGCACAGGAGGCTACCCTTGGACGTATTACCTCGCCTTGGTGAAGCCGTCCAACGTCCAAAAAAGGTCAGATGCAGGAAATGGGGTCCTAGAAGCAACTGGCAGTTTCAAAGGAACAATTTTTGCTCACTTAAACAAGAAATTCACAAAAACTTGAGAGATTTGCAATCTTCAGTTTCTCGTTATGTTTTTTTTTTCAAGATTTCAAACGTTTGGAGCCAAAAAGATGTCATCATTCTTGATGTCCCCCGTTCAAGGAACCAACAGGGGGTCAGCCTCAGAAGCCAGTACCGGTGTCTTACTGTGCTGCACGTGGCCCAGTATGTCCAAGTATTTCTGCTTGTTTGCCTCGCTGGCTTTGGGTTTGTACACGTAAGAACCGATCAACACAAAGAAGAAGAAAATGCACAGACCCAAGGACACCCAGGGCAGCACATCCTTTGTTGTCATCTGAAAAGTAAAATTGAAAAAATAGCCATGATCCTTTTTTTTTTAATCTCCAAGCAGATTCTGTGGGACAAGGCTTATCTGTATTGGCTGTCTGTATCCATTGGCCTCCCCAAGGGTGGCGGACTGGATACTGCCTGGCCAATAATATATATTTGATAATGTCTTGCATCCACCCAAAGTGAGCTGCTAGGAGAACGCCTTTTCAGATATATCTAACGATTAACAAATTGTCATCATGATGTTGCTATGATACAACTGATGAACTGATCAATAAATGTATTTGTTTTCTTGTTAGTGATATATTCATTTCATAGAATAAAATAAAGATGTTCAATTTATGATCAGCTAGCAGACCTCAACCAAATTCTAGCTCTACAGATAACAGAAAACGTCCAGTGCCAATGGTTTCTAGTTGGTCAAGAACTTAATTTGTTAATTCCAGCTCCGTAAAGTTCATCTTAAAACAGCACGTACCAGAACGAAGGCCAAAACGCATCCACACAGTGCAAGCGCGAACAGTATAGAGAGAATGTAGCGGATCCACGCCCACAGGATGGTCGCTCCTGCTATCTCAGGCAGCTGGATAGTGGTCCCGTCTTTCAAGAACAGGTAGCTGAAATATAGTTTCGTAAGAAATGTATGATACGTATGAATAAATTAGTATGATTATTATGATGATGATGTAGCCAAGCCTGAGTTACTAGTAAAGGTTTTTTTTTTAAATTTTAGAAGTTGGCACCATGTAAACGCATATACGTACCATATGCGCGTTAAAATGACCATATTCACGCCATATACGCTTTATAATGGCTTCTACCAATACAGATATATATTTAAAGATACTGGCGCGTTATTGGCATAAGTCACCTGCTCGGGTCAACGTCCTACTACCAGACTGGACTTTAACCTGTTTGTCTTGCAAAGGTGTGGTGGTCAAACCGAGTTTGATATGAGTCTATTGAGATATTTATCTTCAAAGCAATAGCTTTTTAGCTCAAGCCAAGATCGTGGAAAGACCCTGCATGCATGTGTAGACTCCCTAGGCCTCGGATCTGGTCTCCACCAAAAACGCGGGTTAAAAACAGTAAATTTTAGCCAAATAGCGAGACTACTTGGCCGGGAGAGTTTAGCCACCATAGAGTTCATTTGGGGACATTAACCCTCCCCCAGACTGACTCTCCTGGCCAATTCTTCTTCCCTTTCTCGCCGAATTCTACGGTCCGTATAACCCCCGCAGGAAAGCCTGGTGGTGGCTACCCCAGACCCAAGGAGCCTACCTTTCTTCCGGCGCACAGGGCATGTACGAACAGTGGTAGAACTTGGTTTGAACGAAGGCCTCCTGCCCGTCCACCATGAAATAGTCGGACTTTCCGAACAGCCTGGTTCCGTATCGTATGATGAGGATCATGGTGACGACTGTATTCCAGTGTGGGGGTTATCAGAACTAGAAATAGTGGGCTGTCTAGCCGCCAAACTACTTTATGTAGCGTGGAACGTCCGAGTAGTGTCGGCCTTACAGCTTTCTGTTGACGATTGTTTACACAGACCTGCACGTGGGGCATAGAAGTCACTAACCCAACACTACGTCTGCAGAACGTACTGCACTTGCGCGAAGTCCGGAACGTAACACGGCACGGTACTTTACAGAACGTATCGTTCATTGTCCAGTGTCATGGCTGAAAAATTGTGCACATTTGTCTAAAAGCACCAAATGTGGTACACGTGAGATAAATATTGATTTATTTATCTATTTCTGTTTTATTTGAACAGGGTAGAGACCTCAGTGCTATTTAAAAACACTGCTTTTCAGGAATGCCCTGTGACAACAAGTTACACATGAAAACAATGAAACCAGCATAGTATAGCTGAATACACAAGAATAATACACAAGAATATTGTCCATACACTTTAACCCTAGCAATGTCAAGCAATTTGGCAGCTGCAAAGATGTTCGTACATCTTTAACTGCGTCAACAAGCGAGAAGAAGCTGAACCTGTAAGTAGTAGATCACATCAGTTTATATAGTATGTAAATGTCATTACTGTTTTCTTTTCCCTGTTTACCCATGACCTGTACTTAGTTCGTTAGAGCACAAGCGTACAATAAAGGTCTTTCATTCTATGTAAAGAGGGAAGGTGGTGTTAGCCTGGGTACTATCCTACTTGTATGCCGGGGCTCCCACACTCGCTTCCCTAGCAAGTACTTGCTAGGGAAGCGAGTGTGGGAGCCCCGGCATACAAGTAGGATGGTACCCAGGCTAAGGTGGTGTCTGCCTTCTTGGCATAATTAACTGACTCTCAGTGACCATGATCTTGCATTTCGACGAGTTGGACAGCTTCCTGATCGGGGCTGCCGTGATCCGCGGCCTCGGCAGCCGCCAGCTCTTGTAGGAACCGCTGCACCACCACCAGGCCGACCATGTTGAGGTACTCCTGCTTGCTCTTCTCGCTGGCTTTCGGCTTGTAGACAGTGAGCAAAATGGCGGCGAACAGACACACGACGGACAACCCAAGCAGCGCCCACGGCCACGTTACATCAGAATGTCCCTGGAAGGGAAATTTTGTTTTAAATATTTAAGTGCACGCCACAACTATGAAGAAACACAGTCTAATAAGAAATAAAACTGCATGATTATATGGCTCTCTCCAATGCAACCTGGCCAGGAATTGGGAACATCAATGAGTATCGTTCAACAATGTTTTGTGCATTTACATATAATGAAACACCTTTCGAATACATGGAATATTGCTACTGTCATTCAAAATGGCAAACTAACTTAAGGTATATTTCAAATAAAATAACTGGAATATGTGGAAGCATGTAAATGACATATTTGTAATGCTATCATTTCTTTCTTTCTTTGACTGGGTTAAGTGGAGGGATTTTTTGGTTATATAGCACTGGAACCTGAAAGAGATTAGATAAAGACTACTATATCTTACCCTTACTAGTTGGATAACAGCCACAACCATGAGGATGAGGAAGCTATCCCAGGCCAGGTACCGAAGCCACGCCCACCCCACCGACCTGCCCACCACCTCCGGAAGCTCGATAGCTCGGCCGTCTGGCAGGAACAGGTAACTGTGTAAGAGGAAGAGGAACAATGATCGTAAATATAGGAATTATTATAATACCAATGGTCTACTGCAAGTAACTCTGCAGTATTACCACCAAATCAATAGACTGACTTGCACTGAATAATCAGTTCAGAAGTAATAATTTTTAAAACTTTTTTCGGCGTACCACTGACGAGTACAGCAAACTGAAATTTTTGACATGTTGACCCCGAAGCGAGGTTATACCGGCTATATAGATACAGATACAGCGACAGCTAGGTATTATTTAGCAAACAGGCAACGTTGGGGGGTTGGCTTACTGTACAAACAGCTTTCACGTGTAACGTTACGTGTAGTGAATCAAGCGGCAGAAGACTAAGACTTACCTCTCTTTGGGCCCATACGGCATGGAGTTGCAGTGGTGGAATAACGTTCGCACGTACATTTCCTGCCCCTCCACAGTGAAGTAATCGCAGGACCCGAATAGCCGGGTACCGTAGATGTACACAATCGCCATGGTATCAGAACTATCAAAACAACCTAACAAGCACACCCACAGTGGCAGGCCTCAAGTAGTGTTCGAAGCTGGTGTTCATGTGTTACACCGAAGGGCTGTTATACTGGCTATACAGATACAGAAGTAAGCTCGAAGGACCTGCTACCACACACTACTTCCTTGTACACATGACCGCCAGTTCTCCTATTCTGCGGGCCTATTAATTATTAGTAAAAAGGACCTGTTTACACTTGTTGAAACGTACAACAATGCACATGCTGGTGTTCAAGCCACGTTATCGGCGTTGGGCCCTGCTACCATTAGGGGGTTCAGCTGGGGATATTGTGATGCCCCCTACCTGTTCCTGTTCCATATATATATTTGTGTTGACGGCCAGGCCGTTGGAATATGGCAAGTCCACAGCACAGGTGTATATATTATACTATGCTTGTACAAGCATTATAAGGTGCGATGGTCTGTTTCTCAGAGGTCTTCCAGTCCGATCGTCAGACAACACGCTTTAAAATCAAGATTTTATATATCAAAATTGTATAACTTTACACACACAAAATGTTATTTAATAATGTAGTTTCTCGCCGAATTCTACGATCCGTATAACCCCCGCAGGAAGGCCTGGTTGTGTCTACCCCAGACTCAAGAAGCCTACCTTTCTTCCGGCGCACAGGGCATGTACGAACAGTGGTAGAACCTGGTTTGAACGAAGGCCTCCTGCCCGTCCACCATGAAATAGTCGGACTTTCCGAACAGCCTGGTCCCGTATCGTATGATGAGAATCATGGTGGTGGCTGTATTCCAGTGTGGGGGTTATCAGAACTAGAAATAGTGGGCTGTCTTGCCGCCAAACTACTTTATGTAGCGTGGAACGTCCGAGTTGTCTGCCTTACAGCTTTCTGTTGACGATTGTTTACACAGACCTGCACGTGGGGCACTGAACTCACTAACCCAACACTACGTCCGCAGAACGTACTGCACTTGCGCGAAGTCCGCGAACGTAGCACCGGCACGGTACTTTACATGCACCTTCGCTTGGAACCTTTAAAAGACTGCTAGCATCGTAACTGACTTTGACTGAACCACTTTGGACACAGCGACTTATGAGTTATTTATTAGTTATTGCCATTTGTTTTATTTATTTACTTTGTGTGAGTTACCGAACGACTTTGGACACAGCGACTTATGAGTTATTTATTAGTTATTGCCATTTGTTTTATTTATTTACTTTGTGTGAGTTACCTTGTGTACAACAATTATTACTTTGTGTTTTCGTTTGTGAGCAAGCAGTATTTATGTTATGACCCCTTGACACTCCTCCACGCTCGACCTCTATGAAAAGCGGCCGAAATAGCGGCCGATTAGAGCATGTAACATAGTTACAGATCGAGTTGAAATAAAGGCTCAAACAAACAAACATAACGTATCGTTCACCGTCCAGTGGCATAGCTGAAAAAAACGTGCACCTTTGTCTAAAAGCACCAAATGTGGTACACGTGAGATAAATGTTGATTTATTTATCTATTTCTGTTTTTTTTAAACATGGTAGAGACTTTAGTGCTTAATTGAAAAACACTGCTTTTCAGGAATGCCCTGTGACAACAAGTTACACATGAAAACAATGAAACCGGCACAGTAAACAATACATAAAGTTACAAAACAACCAAGCGTCAAACAAAACTTTGTTTTTGTGTTATTGCCTTTATTACTATGAGTGTGGCTCTTGGTTTGTCAAGTTTGTTTTATTACCACCTTACTGAGTTGCGGCATATATAGTACTTTTACTTTTATTTGTACTAAATTGACTTTAATTTGTACTTATAAGTTGACTTATCATTTTGTTATTTCTGTTATTTTCTTGTATATTTTATTTATGTATGCCTGCAGGGCCCATTGAAAAACGCCTTAGTGGCGATATGTACACCCTGAGTAAAAAAATAAAAACAAACAAACAAAAACAAACAAAATCGTTAACCGTAAATCAATGTCGTTAAGCCAGGCCGAGGTCAGGAGGTCAGATGTTTACTGTCTTGTCCCTCCCTTTAATCAGATGTTGCTAAGCTGAAGCTCTGGAAGCCGTTGATTACAAGAGACCCCCTACTCGTTGCCTCAATATAAGCAAATATAAGCTCCGGCCGCCAAATCTAGTATGCTATCCCTGGAACGCCTGCTTCATTTCGGTATGATAAAACGTTAGCGTTATAGAAGTAATCCTCCCGTTTTTCCAACAAAAGAACTATCTCAGGGATAGCATAATTTTTGTTACTTAGTGGTCGCCACGTAACACGGCCATTAGCCCACTTCAAGGTTGGTTAACCACCTGAATGGTATCACCTGAATGGTATTACCACTCACCTGGGTTACGGGTTACTGAGTAGAACTGTAACAGCAACTCTTCTCCCTGAGTCGGAAACATCATGATTGAGACCAGTCCAATTTCTCACAATGTGAGGACTAACTGACCCAATAGGAGAAGTAGGGGTTACGAGGCTGGTCGGGAAAATTCCCTACCCCATTTTATTCCCTACCCCATTTTATTCCCTGTCCCATTTTAAATTTACTGTATCTTATTAACTGATTGTCATTAACTGGTTGTCAGCCATCGTCCAATACTTATTCCGATGTATAGAATGAAGTCTGTGCCATTGTCCTAGAGTACCCGGGCAAGTACACAGTTTAAATCTGACACACAGAGACACCCAACGCTTAACAATGGTGTGGAAAATACCATTTTTGTTGGTATTCAATGAGTTTAATGAAGTGTGCAATATCAACCTATCAGTCAGTGTGTAACCCAAAATAAAACTTAATCACTTCCATTAGTCATGCACGACCTGTAGAACATCTGACGGTGTGATTTTTCCAAAACTACGAAACTATGTTCAATCACAGAATGTGATGCTATTTATTACAAGCGTTTTAATGTTCGTCACGAGTACGGTCCTTTTGGTACACTGATGTCGAAATTATTATATAGACTGGTTTATTTCGAAAGGAACATACATGCAACATGCATATAAGTTGCTAATTGCAGCCCGCAGGCTGAATTGGGCAGCTTTTACAATGGGATACACAGGTAGAATATATTTAACATGTACATAACTTAAGCATAAGCATCAAATTCGTCTTCTTTCCGATCCACTGTTAGTGACAGGTCCCGACCGGTGCTCGCCAGCCTTTTCTTTGTCCTACAGTAACCGGACAAGTACAAGATTGGGATCTTGTGACGTAAACACCCACCCAGCACTGAACAATGGAAAGTTCCGTCCGTCAGAGTTCACTGAGTTAATGAAGCGTGTATAATTAACGAACTGTGAGCCAATGTCCGAGATTAACCGGGCAAATACAGGATTTAACATTCTATAGAAGCCTGCTGCAACCCACACAAACTACATGTGAGACTTATACTAAGATGAAATTTTGATCTGTAGGGTCAGTAATGTGTCACTCTGTCAGATACAGTGTCCGTGGACCATACATATAGCATTATGTTAGACACACTGCACGAAAAGTTGGATTTACCAAAGGTTGTAAACTCATGTAATGTTGACTATGTACACAGTATCTGGCTTTACAATGGTAGTAAATAAAGGTCAATTGCAGTAATTTCCTTTACAACCGTTGAAAGTCCGGTATTATCGTACTTGACTTTTATTTACTGACATTAACGTAAAGTTCAGAAGTGTTTATTAAGAAAAAACAAAGTAAACGTTACCCAACTATACTGGCCCGGTAAATCTAAGTTTTCGTGCAGTGACACATACCAACTAGTAATCTTGTCATTTGCCATACATTGTACCCGTGGCAATCGTTGTGCAATAAACTTTGACTTGACTTGACTTGACTTGTGTCTTCGCAATTTTTAGATTGTTGGTAGAGTTGTATAGGTTCTGCTTTGGATAGGTAATAATTGACATAAGCTGTTGTTGAACGTACAATGAAATGAACTGAATGTCCAGGTTTGCTCTCCATACCCGTACCAAGTCAGGGTTGTAAGGATTGATGTTTGTTTCTGTTCAATGCTGCTCTAGCTTTGCAAATCGTGAAAACATATCATTATGTGCATTGAATGTAGCTGAAGGGTTTTGGGAATGGATAATGGTGTTTAGTCGTGATTTAGGAGGATATTGGAATCTACAATGCGTGTTGTTTAATTGAAAAACGCTACGGAGAACAGAAACTGCTTGTAAGGTCACTTTTGTTCCATATATATTATTCCGATGTAGATTTGATTAAGTGACAAGAATAATGATGCTTCAACTGTATGAAGTTTCGGGTATTCTCGTAAAAAATTAACTTACATTTGAACTTCTTGATGACCGCTAGTGACCGGACAACCTACAGACCCACCCAGTTATGAACGGAGCTGTGGAATGTTCCATTGCCATTCGGGGGGGGGGCACTAGAGTTCACGGGTTTAATCAACTGTGTAATCATGACCTACCAGTCAAATGTAATTTTGAATCTGCTGACGCAAAGAACCATCCAGCACTAATGAGACTAATACTAAGATAAAATTTCAGCCTGAAATTTAATTAAAAACGCAACACATATACCAAATCTTAGAAAACAAACTGCTTGTAAGGCTACGCATTTTCAGCCATATAATAGCTTTACATAAGTTATAGCAAAACGTGACATAACTGTAACCATAAATGATTTCATGGGTTTAACCCTACCTAGACCGGGCTTTTTTTGACATGGGGGGACCGGGGGGGGGCGTCTTTTGTACCCCCCCGTAACGAACTCGCGAACGGTATATCGTATGACCACCAAATTTTCTAGAGAATGGTGTACTAGTGAAAATTTATCATATCTACAATTTTAATTGTCGTTATGACATAATATGACGTCATTATGACGTCATTAATGTGATTTTATTGGCCAAAACCGTCTAAATAGGTTTTTCCCTGAAAACTAAATGGTATTCAACATAACTGTACCAAAAGTGTTTGTGACAGAATATTATGGTGTACTAAGTCTTATGTTGCCCATAGCAACACCTGTGACGTCATAAAATGACGTCATGCATATTTTAGATAGCCGCCATCTTGGATCATCAATCTTGAATTTTCAAAAATAGTTTTTTTTCATGATAAAGCCTAAAATACATTGTAAACATACTAAAGACCTTCATTTAAACCTTTTTTGGAAAAAGAAATGGAAGTATTGATGAAATTTTAATGAAAATAACCTATATATACCTGTTCTAATGATATGGTCCGCCATCTTGGATTTTGGCCAATGACGTCATCAAATTAGCATAAATTATGCATATTTAATAATAAAATTTACATAAAACTATATGGGATGTTATTAATATTAGAATCCATGAATAACTTGACATAAAACTCATAAAATTCTATTGTTGAAACAAAAAGTACTAAATTTAGCAAAAAATGCCTGTCAGAAACCCGTTGCCATGGCAACACAAAAAATAATTATCTTATTCCAATGATAGAGAATTGTTGCCAACAATATTTTAGGAAAAGTCACCAAGTTTGGCCGTTCTACGGCTAGCCGTTCAGACGCTAGGTGACATCAAAGTTGCCG